TTTTTTTTGTTGTTGTTGTTTTTGTTTCGTTTTGAAGAGATCGTAGGACGAGATTCGTGCATTGAGGGTTTTACTGAAGCTCTGTTTCGTTTGATTTGTGGTTATATCGTCGGTTTTTGGGGAATGCGGCAAAAATTGAAAGGGAAAAGTGCAGTATCTCATAAAATGGTGAGTAATCTGAAACTCGTAACAGTGTGTCTTGTTTCCGTTTTCTTTTTTTCTTTTTTTTTTTAGTAGGTTTCTCGATGTTTTTGTTTGGGAAGAAAATGCTGTTGCATTGGATTTATCTTTGAGTTGGTCTGATAGGATTTTTGTGTTGATTAATGTATTGGGTTGGTTTCGAAAGGCGAGGCTGGTCGGAGGCGGAGAATACCTGGGAGCCTGTGGAGAATCTGTTGCAGTGTTCAGATATTATAGATGCATTTGAAGAAAGGTTTATTCTTCTGTCCCTGTTGTTAATATTCTTTTGTGCTTTCCTAGTGTTAGGTTGTAGTGTGTTTGTGAATCATAATAGTTAAGAAAGATAATTACTTGATTTCTGTCTTTCTGAGCCACTTATGTTCATCTCGTTTGTACTATTTTGATTTTCGGATTCATGTTGCTTTTTTATTTTTATTTTTTATTTTTGGTTGGATTTGAAGCCTGAAACCGGGGAAAAGTAAGCTGACACGCAAAAGGAAACGCAAGGCTGCTGTAACTCAAATCCAACCCAAGAAAAAACAACAGGACAAACAGCATCAATATCACCAGCAGCGATCTCCTGCTCCTGCTGCTTACAACGTGCCCTCGCATGTGATAAGGATTGGCAATGAGCCTTTACCCTTTTCCAGGCTAAAAAACTTCACCTATATAAATGAGAGTGGGCAGACTGCTGTAAATGGGTTAAACCGTTTCGAAACTTCCAAGAAAGCAGGCGAGAATGGTGCAAGAATGGTTTCTGCTATTAGAGAGGGAGGAAAGGAACAAAACGGGTTGAATTTGAAACTCTCTGAGCTTAAGGGGGCAATGGTGGCGGGCGATGAAGATTCTCTCCGGCTGGCTCAGACATCCCAAGCAGGCCAACTACCGACAGGAGATAATTTGGCGAATGAATTCAGGAATGAGAGGGTTGATTCTGTGCATGCCGGTCGTTTTACAGGTGCTAAAAGGAGGAAATCTGGTTCTGTCAAGAGGTTCCGGAAGGATCCAGAGTCGTGCTCTGTTGATGATGCAGCGAATGGGGTTTTGGCTTATGGGCCTCTCGCGCCCGAGAATGTTCTGTGCCCTGATTTTCTCAGGAATAATTCGGGCTGTCAAGATGGTAAGTACGAGGATTTCAAAAGCATGTGCACGATTAAACAGATTGTGAAGCCTATTAGCTATAAATCTTCCATGTCAAACAACGTCCAAGATGTCTTGGTGGCGTTTGAGGCGATCAGGTTTGTGATCTTATATTACTGCTGTATTTTTATTTTTTATCATGACTGTAAATATTATTATTTTTATGTGAAACGAGGTGTATACATATGAAATATATATCTATCTAGTGCACATGCAATCACGAACATTTATTTGCTGTGGTTATGAGAGATCTTTTATGATAATGGTTTATATTAAAGAGCACCAACGAGTTAACAATCTGTTACAATATTGTGCTGTTGCTTGGTTTTTTCGACTTTCTTGATACTTGTGCATTTTTGTTTGCATGTAGCTGTTTTTTAGGCTTTCTTAATGCTTGTTAACAGCACGTGTCCATAACGTATGCTGTATCTGCTACGCTGCAATATTGGGCATAAATATTGATAGGATGGGATTTTGCTGCGTGGGAGTGTATGACCTGAAATACATAATTTATTTCACTGTTTTATTGGAGGATCTGATATATTGCCGCTGAGAATAACGAGTCTAGTCAGCAAAAATGGTCATAAATATATGATGTAATCTTAGAGCAGATAAGTATATGTTGGTTTGGTGATACTCTGTCTTGGATTGTCCATTATTACCTTTTAACACTTGGACTATTCCAATTATGTGCATACTGGAGTTTTTTTTTTTTTTTTTGTTTCCTTCTCTTTTTTTAAACTATTCTGTGTTCATCACCAAGTGAAGATGAAGTCTCTCTTTGCTAACATTTGGAGTTAACTTTATGCAGGCATGTCGTAATGTGTTATACAGTCCAATATCGTTCCTGTATTTATTAGTACTCATAATTTTCCATGACAAAATTATACATGAAATTGATTGTAAGTATTATTTAAATTTGGAAAAAATGAAAAACATTGCAGTGATTGCACATTGAATGAATGCTTTGCATAATTCTCCGGACTAGCAGCTCCTCGTATTTCTCTCTGTAATTTAAAAACAAACACTTGATGATGCGATTAATATTTTATTATTACGTGATTAACAAAGCAATATTGTCCTTGTCTTTCTTTTTGATTTTAATTGGTTTTCTAAATTTCGTCTATTTGTCGGGTCATTGCGTGCAGTATTCGTGACTTACTATTTCTGTTAAAATGACACGAAATTTCTCGCTGGCTTCAGGTCTGATGGAACAAAAGTGATAGTGGATAACAAATTTTTAAAAGCTAACAATCCACTTCTGGTATGTGTTCCATACTTACATAAGTTGCATTCTTCTACTTCATTCTTTCTCTTCTTTAATTATTTTGCTGTTATGATTTTTTTTATTTAATTTTAGTTATTTTTTTAATCTTTACCACAATGACTTGATGAGTGGCACCTATCTCTCTCTCTCTCTCTCTCTCTCTCTCTCTCTCTCTCTCTCTCTCTCTCTCTCTCTCTCTCTCTCTCTCAAGTTAACATATTTTTTTCTATTCTGTCATGCAGCTCATAGACTTCTATGAGAAAAATTTACGGTACAGCCCAACGTGACAAAAACTGGTTGGCCGAGCAGGCAGCAAGGGCATCTTGTAATCGTCCTGTACAGTGCAGTGACTTCTTAGCAGTAAAAAACGTGTACCAAAAGTACACCCAAAGGAAGTGCGGTAAATAGTGTTAAAACTGTATGTGGATTTTGTCACAGCTAAATTTGTATGGTTGTTGTGGTTCAGTGTGACCGATTTACCCTCGTGTGATCAAGCTATCGGTGAATGATATGGTGAAGTTTATGAAAACTTCCATTTTTCTTCTCTGACTCATCCTTTTCGTATGCTTCATCTGTTTGCCTTATTGATGGAATGCTGGTCCATATGGCACGTATAAACTCTGTTTGTGTGTAGTGTGTTCCTGGTTGTAATATTCAGCCATGGGCTGTTTTTTTGCACATTTATGCGTTTTGATATATAATACCTCTATCGTTTCGAAAAAAAAAAAAATAACTCTGTTTGTAATGGTAATTTTTTTTTTTTTCTTCTTCTGGGATTTGTTGTAATCGTTACTTTAGGCCTTCTTTTTGGTGTGTACTTCAATTTTCTGGTAATCACGGCTTTTTCTTTGGCGCATTTACATCGTTAGTCATTGTTCAATTTTGATTCTTCTATTTTGCGACTTTTGCCTACTTCATATTTCTAGTTAAATTTACTGCATTTCGCATATAATTTCAATATTTTATATGCAGTGTTAATATTTCGTCCAAACAAATTAGTACAGTACCCGTGTATTACACAGGTGTTGATAAAAGATTTATATTTAAATTTAAAAATAATTAAAAAAATAGTTTAGATACTTATTTGAATAACTAAATTACTATTCATATTGAAAATAATACTCATCACTTATACAGTTATACGCTTACCATGTTACATTATAATATATGTTTTTTTATATCATATCATTTAACAACTTTGTATTTAAATTGATTTAGATAACTTTAAATTTTTTAATTAATGCTGTTTAATAAAAATAGTATTAAGTATGTTCACCATTTAATAAAATATATAATTTTCATTAATACGATTTATTTTAACCTGTCCTATTTTGGATGGAATACATTTATGTAACGCCTTTTTATGTCCAGAAATATAAAATATTTTTGCTTTTATTTTGGTATTATATATATTTTGTTATTATATAAATAGATATTTCACAACTAATAAAAAATGACTACAAATATCTCTATTTTCTATTACAGTTATACAAAATAAAAAAAAAAATATTTTTTCAGATATTAAAAAGATATATTAAATATTTTGAAAAATTAAATAATAGATCTCAATTTGTGTCTTGAGCATTACAGTCGAATATTATCTTTTATTGAAAAGCTCAATTTTTGCCGCTTTCTCCTCCTCACTTCTCACTATAAAGGAGCTCTCATCTAACTCTTTGCCCTTCCAACAAAACTGTGAACCCTTCACTCAGAATCTGAATGAGTCGATCATGGCAGACGCAGAAACTGAAGCAGAGAAAATGGACATCGACAACCCCGAGATCATCTCTGCAAATCTCCCCGAAGAACTTATCAGAGAGATCCTTCTGAGGCTGCCGGCGAGATCCCTTCTGAGGTTCAGGTGCGTCTCAAAATCCTGGCTTTCTCTGATTTCGAATTACAATTTCGTCAAGGCCCACACTCAATTTTCGACGGAGAGCAGTACAAAATCAGGCGAACAACTTATCTTTGGCTCCAAAGGCCTACCTCCGGTTTTGTACTCTTGCTCAATTCACTCTATTATCGAGGGTAGTTCAGATTTCGTTGGTCAGATCTACCCTGCAGCTCAAGGCAATTTGCCATTCGAACGGGTTGAGCTTAATTTCCCCTTTACCGAACGGCACGACGTGCTGCAGCTTGTGGGATCCTGTAATGGGTTGGTCTGCGTTAGGTTTTCGCCCAACACCACCATTTTGTGGAACCCCACGACAAGGAAATTCAAAAAATTACCCGAACCGGGCATATGTCAGCTCCATTGGGGTTACGAATACTACAGCACGGCATTAGCTTTCGGTTATGACGAACTTCACGATGATTATAAGGTGGTTGAGTTTCTGGGTAATCTGGATTGTGATGAGCTCGACGATTGTGAGAATCGAGTAATGGTTTACAGCCTTAGAGCTAACTCTTGGAAGCTATTGTCCAACTGGCCGGGTGGTGGTGATGTATTTGGTGGGCTCGGCCAGTTTCTAAATGGAGCAATCCATTGGAGTGTGGTGGACCCCAACCGGCCTGATGTATGGGTTATTGTTTCTCACGATCTTGCTACGGATACTGTCGTCGAGTTCCCTTCACCTATTCTTGATAGTAATAATGTCAAGGTCAGGGTTAAAATATTAAATGGTTTTCTTGCTTTGCATTGCGAGCATAAGTTTTGCGTGGATATTTGGGTGATGAGAGAGTATGGTGTGAGAGAATCATGGACTAAATTGGTCAGCATCCCGTTTCTTGATATGAATCGACGCAGATTCTTCAGGCCCCGCCTGTTGTTTTTCTCAGCGGACCATAAGGTTTTAATTAACAGTGGGGTTAATTTGGGCGTATATGATTTAAACGAGCCACATTGGCATTACATTAACAGTTCTGTAAATTCCATCTCGGTCGAGGCCATAACCTATACCGAAAGTCTAGTTTCTCCCAGACTTGACGAACACGTATTTATCATTTGTTGTGAACTGCCCCTACGAATCAGGACAGATATCCTCTTGAGATTGCCGGTCAAGTCCCTCCTCTGTTTCAAATCCGTCTCTAAAGATTGGCATTCATTGATATCTAGCCCCGATTTTGTAAAGGCCCACCTCAGAATGAACCGGGAAGAAAAGCTCATGTACAGCTCTCGAGTTACAACCCATCTGAACTTGTACACTTGTTCTATCAATTCCTTGATTGAGGGTGATCTGATTGTGAACCCCTGGACCGATCCTATTCATTCGTTAATAACTTTTGATTCTCTTCCTGTGAGGCCAAACACGAAGATAAACTTCGTGGGGTCTTGTGACGGTTTGGTCTGTTTGTCTTTGGACCGAAACACTGTTGCCGTAGTGAATCCGGCCACTAGAGTTTCTCGCATACTACCTGCCTCCGGCTCGAGTAGTTTCTATTACAAACCTGAGTTTTATGCCCTTTCGTATTCTTTCGGTTATGACGAGGCGCACGACGATTATAAGGTGCTCGAGCTCGTGACCTTCACGAATGAGGCATTTGGGTACAAGACTCGATTTAAGATTTACAGCACAAGGGCCAATTCTTGGAGGAAGTTGTCGGATTGGGAGGGTAAATACGGTTATTTCGGGCCGGGCGTGTGTCTAAACGGGTCGATTCATCATGGTTATTTCCGGCCTGGTGTGTTTCTAAACGGGTCGATCCATTGGCCAGTGGAAGTGAGAGGTAAATGGGTTATTCTAACCTTTGATCTCAGCACAGATACATTTCTTCAATCTGAACCTCTCCCGGAGAATCTTGATCAAGATAATGAAGCCATGATACTACTAGATGTAGGCATTTTAAGCGGCTGCCTTGCTGTGTATTGCAAGCGAAATACAGGCATGGATTTGTGGGTGAAGAAGAGGGAATTATGGACTCGTGTGGTTCGAATACCGTATTTTGAGGAGCTTCCGGATCCTGAACGTTTTTCGAGTCGTGCCCTTTTCATGTCGTTTGATGGTAAGAAGATATTGATGAACTACGGGCAGAGTTTGGAGATTCATAATTTGAGCTACCCTTTGGCACAACAGTTTGTTGTGGGCTCGATAGTTGATGGGTCGGCCTATGTGGAAAGCCTAGTTTCACCTTACTATGGATGAAGAAGAACATGATGATCATTTCGTGATCAATGACTTTGTTATGTGGAGATGATTTTCATGATCAATGACTTATTATGCCCAATATTTATGTATTTTTGGACAACAAAATTGATGTGGAATTGTATAAGCATCAATATTCAGAAATAAACTATGCTATATAAAATGTGACATGCACTTGTATAATGCTATATATGTTAGGGAAATGATACGGTCCCGTTACCGAGTCATTTCTTATGGGATTGTAACAGTTAGATCATCATGTAATTGTTGAGGATAGTTGATCTAATGGTTACAAACTCCGACGGAATGATTCCGTAATGGGACTGTAGTATCTCCCTATATTACTATATCATCTTAAACTCAGCGATACACATACCTACACACCATTTTATACCCATATATCCTCACATCCACAAATTATGTGAAAATAACAATTTTCTATTGAGAAATCAAAATGGGAATTGGAAATAACAAATCATCTTAATTAATTAACTATTTGTTTCAGCAATCTTCAATCACCCCTTCACGTTTTGGAACAAACAATACATTAGTTGCCCCACAAGAAAATACTAATCATCACTAAACCAAACATCTACCTAACTAATGCTAATTAATGAGAACCTCTTTACTTACTAAATCAACCTTATGTACACTAAATCAATTACTATAATGGATTTGTGTGTCTGCTCAAATAATGAATTATCACCTTCTTATTTCTCTACTTGATTGAGTTTATTTTCTCCAATTATTTATCACAAATTATTGTGAGCTGATTAACCGTTAGACATGTTGACTCGTCATATTTTTTTAAATAAAAAAATAATATATTTATGCTATGAATTTGTCAAACTTATGTTTATGTTGCTTTTTAGGTATGACATTTCGATTTGAAAATATGCATAACTGTTGAAAAAGTATGCCCGACTAACCGTTAAACTTGTCTAGCAACAATCTTACAGGTTATTTATGCTCTTGTATCAATTATTGCACATCTTAATGAATGTTTTTTCCAACAATAATTTTCTACTTTTGCATTCTATTTTATTTTATTCTTCTCTAAATGTATTATGCAACCAAACCATAAAGCCAAAAGTATGGTTGAGGTTAGATAATGCATGCAACTATCCTTAAACCAAACTTGTAAACAACTTGAATATACAATATACATGTTTCATTTAAATGTTTTTTTAATACACATGTTGAGAGTGTGTAATAGAAAAACCCTTTGAGAGAGGTTCTTGAATCTTGAGTGCTTGATGGAGCAGTAGACAGACATGAATAGATTTGTAAGAAGTTCTAAGCTTATAGCCATATTATTATATATTTGTTTTCATAGTCTTTGTTTAATTGTATTATTTATTTGATCGTTTTTACACGAGCTTTGATTTGCAATTTTGTCGTGTAAAAGTATCGATAGAAGACACAAGTTCCCAACACCAACAACGCACGGTTAGGAGGTGAGTGACACGAAAAATTAATCGTGCCTATTCCGAGTGAGACATTTTGTTAGAGGGAGCTAATTCAGGCATCATACAAATATAACATGAGTTTACAAGTTCCAATTTGGTTAAACTAGCAATTTTTGTGCCATTTTACAGGGTCAAAAGCTTAGCTGCCAAAACAAATAACAATACAGACTAAGTATCGCCTGAAATCAGAATGAAGACCAAGTTTACCCCCTTTGAATAGTCCATATTGTTACTGACACAATCTTAATCATACCCCACATAATGCATATTATATATATATCCATTATACAATGCATAAATTTACTTAAATTCTTTCTATATAGCTTTTGAGTATTTTTTCTATAATTCTTATACACAGACGATTAATGGAGGCACAAAACGGTGCAGAAGCAAGTCGAGTACTTCACATTGTCTACTTTCTCAGTCGAAAGGGTTATGAAGAGCACCCTCATCTCATACAAGTCGAGCATCACTCTAAAAATGGCGTTCAGTTACAAGGTTAATTAATGTGCATATATAAATATAGCGAGTTAGCGACTATTGTATGTATATTTGATACGTATCTTTACGCGCGCGTGTTAGTATACGTTAATTTGACACGTGCGAATTTGTGATTTGTGTGTTCTTAGACATCAAAAGATGGTTGGGAGAATTGAGAGGAAAGGATATGCCAAAATCATTTGCTTGGTCATACAAGAGGTAAGAAGCATATATACACATATATATGTAACACATAAAATTTGCTTTAAGGAATAATGATTACATTTTTTGCATGTTTTCTATATGTATATTGTGACTTAATTACTATATCACATGATGGAATAATTGATGTACAATGTTCTTTTTTTATATAAGAGGTACATAATTTTGTGCAGGAGGTACAAGACAGGTTATGTCTGGCAAGACTTGTTGGATGATGATCTTATAACCCCAATCTCAGACAATGAATATGTCCTCCAAGGCTCAGAAATTCCATGCACAGTAACTAACACAACAGGTAAAATTACATTAAATTAAAAAAAAAA